GCAATACTTTGGAACAACAATGTGCACTAATTGAATTTGTGATTGGTAAATATTATTTATTTTTAGTGATTATAATAACATCTGTGTCAAAGAAACAGATTTATTTCAAATGCAATTATGTTCTGTAAGCGAAATTACTGATTAAACAAAGGAAATAAGTGCAAACGTTTATTCCGAAATGAAACCCCTATCCCCAATTAATGAAGTGGAGTATTATCGCCAAAAATTGTTCACAGAGTTGCAATCACCATCCGCAAATGAAAACGTTTATGTAAATCGAGAAAGTCAAACTGTTTGTGCTAACAAAAGGCAATAATATTTTCTTATAATTCTTATTAAATTACTTTTATTTTAGCTTATATAAAACGAATTTGACTAAAAATTATCCCAAAGAACAGTAAACAACTCAGAATGATAATACAGATGATTTTTAGCATTATGAAAGTTGGTAACAAAAATTTTATTACAAACAAAAACGGAAAATTGTTTTTTAGATGACATGTTCGAAGATAATTCAGATTTAGAACCTAGTTATGACCCACAAGATCCTGATAAAAAAAAAGAAAGATTTTCCAAATAAGTAATTCGCAAAATTTAAAATCTTTTAATAATTTTGTTACAGATACAAATTACATCGCAATGTAGATTTAATGAGTAATAGTCCAAGAGCCAGTAACACACATTTCATTAAGTGTTTGATGCACTTTGAAATTTTGTAATTTGAAATCATTTGGATGGAAAAGCAGATATACCTGTGTTGGCTTGACCCACCCCGGGACACCAGGTACTGCGCATAATAGAAAGGGGTCGTAAAATGTGATCCAAAAAAAGTGTTTGATTCACGCTCAAATTTTAATAGCGTCTTAATTAAATATAAAAAAAAAATAATTCCAAAAAGGCAGACACTTTTTCCGAGGTTTAATTGCCAGCCAACATAAAAAAAGTCTTATCGCTGATCGCCCTACAGCTGTATCGGCTGTTCATACGAGGGAAGTGCAACCAACTTGACAACATAAAATTGACACTAATGACATAAGAAATCGGGTAACATAAAGAGGCTGTTTTTTGTTAAATTTTTAATTTTTCTTATCTACTTTTATGTCGTTTAGATACCATGTTGTACCCGTAATGTAAAAAATACTTTTTATTTTAGGGTATTTTACATTTAAAGGTTGAAAACATTTGTCACTATCAGCTGTGGATAATATCAAAACATAGGCGTAGCAGTGCATTTTATTTTTTGTTGTTAATAGTCTATTTGTGTTTCTCCCGCTTTATGAAACATTTTTTTTTTTATTTGGTTTTATTTATTTATGTCGATTGCAAAATGCTGCTGCTACGAATACAAGTTCTATACAATATACAACCAACATACAATACTAGTTACATTATGCCCATCTATGGTTACGCCTGTGTTCTACCAACAACATAATTGACAGCTGACGATGACCAAATGTTTCAACCTTTAAATGTAAAATAACATAAACTAAAGTCTTTTTCACGTTACGGGTACAACAAGGTATGCAAATGGCATGAAAGTAGATAGGAAATACCATAAAGCAAACTAAAAAACAGCCTCTTTATATGACCCGATTTCTTATGTCAATTTTATTTTGTCAAGTTGGTTGCACTTCCCTTGTATGAACGGCCGATACAGCTGTAGGGTGATCAGCGATAAGACTTATTTTTATGTTGGCCGGCAATTAAACCCCGGAAAAGTGTCTGCCTTTTTGGAATTAATTTTTTTTATATTTAATTAAGACGCTATTAAAATTTGAGCGTGAATCAAACACTTTTTTTGGGTCATATTTTACGACCCCTTTCTATTATGCGCAGTACCTGCTGTCCCGGGGTGGGTGAAGGCAACACAGGTATATCTGCTTTTCCATCCAAGTGATTTCAAATTACAAAATTTCAAAGTGCATCAAACACTTAATGAAATGTGTGTTACTGGCTCTCCGGCTATAATGAATTAGACGCCAGTGTTGATATAAATCAGAAAATTTAAATAGGTGTAAAATGCTGATACTTTCATCACAGGTTGTAGATACATTAATTTATGTTATTTGTTATATAATTGCATGCAAATAATGAAAAAGACAAAAATAGTAAAAAAAGGAGGATAAAAGATCAAGAACAGAAAAATATATTTAGAAAAATATCATTGTTTAAGCTATTTAATTGTAAAAAAATGTGAAAATTATTTTGCCAAAAAAAGAAAAGATATTTGCCAATCTTTCTGAAAAATGAGCTTTGGTGAGAGCCGACAATAGCTTAATGCAAAGAAAAATATTGGGAGCGTTAAAAGAAGAAAAGTAGTTAGTGACACTAAGGGTCAATACTTACTCATTAATTAAGGGGATGGTTTTGAAAAAGATGTGTGTAAATAAATGTTTCTAAATACATAGTTTGAAAACTGATGGTATGATAACAGACATGAACAATCTATATGATTGGAACTGGTTAAAGATAAAAGGGAAATGTATGTTCCGTCTAACAAAAAGAATCCCATTCATATTAGAAATCATATAGAGAACCCACAAATATCATCACACTATAAACTGCAACATGCTCCTAACAGAGGATTTATCTATTAATGATATTTGGAAAAATTATTGTGAAATATCCATTACCGATACAGAACTGAATTGTTTATTCAACATTGGATTTAATCAACGAAATCAAAAATAAATGTGACATTTGTGGTAAGCATAAAGAACATAAAAAAGTATAGTTCTAAAAGCCAGATGACTATGATAGGAATCAAGACTATCCTAACTCAATTAAAGTTTATTGTGCTGATACGCAAAAAGTGTTGCTGCTTCAAAAGTTGTCACTAAAACCTTGTCTTTGTAAACAAGTTGTTTTCAACGAAACATCTGCGTCTCTAACCAAGGCTGAAGAAAATATTTGCGTTTTATGGCATGAAACCATAAGTGGTCGCACGGCGGAAGATGTGGCATCAGCTCATTGCACTACGAATTTTGGTGCAGTGACCAAAATAAAAATTGGAAACTATTTACATTATTTGTAGTAATTGCTAATTCTAATTGGGGGTCCTCAAAGTATCACATGTTTTGTCCATGGAAACATTGGCAAGTCGTGAAAAAAGAAAAGCAATATATATAACATGAACGAATTAAATGAACTAATATTGAAAACTTCCAGAAAAAATAAAACACTATTATTGAAATATGAAGATTTATAATATGTCGCAAGACAAAGAAAGATTAAACTTAATATAATTAAAGTAGTGCAGTTTAGAAAAGGGTCAAGGTAATGTTTTACAAAAAAATCACAGGGATAAAGAAATTCAAGATATGGAGGTATAAATCCTAAAAAAATTAAAACGTTTGTTTTGGGGAAAATTACTTGTTTCTGAAACATCCAATGACTTATTAAATAATTGAATTAAACTGTTAATGTTTTATGCATTTTTTTACTTATATAGAGTACTTATTTTTTCATGTTAGGCATATGACTAGTATATAAGTTGATAAAATGGCAACAGGGCAACAGTCAATCATCAACTAGAATTAGAAGATATGGTGGTGGGATATTAGCCTAACCAAACGTCAGTCGCAAAAACCAGGATGTACAGCAATAGCGGGGATAACGTAGTTGCCACATGTTCACTATGAAAGCACGGCTATGCCTAATACAAAATAATAGGTACTGTATTTACTTTTTATAATTACTTTTTCTAAACACTAGAAATATGTCTAAAAAAAGTGTAATTTGCTATGTTTTACCTAGTTTTATAAAGCAAAAGTCAAAACAAGTTTTACAGCAATGACCAATTTATTTAATAAGCAAGGATATTAGCCTTTGCCACAGCAAAATGAATACTTATTTGCAATAAAAAAAATAGTACGATATATAAAACTAACAAAACTCAAAAAAAGAAAAAACAGTAATAAGTACCTTTAAAACCTGCCCCATCCAAAAATAAAACAAAAATTATATAATGTCATTACAGAAAAAACATTTTTCCTTTTTTTTTTCTATTCCCCGAAGTCATCAAAAATCAGTTACTAGTTTTTTCCTTTTCACGTGAGAAACCTTCACATAGTGTAGTTTAGTTAGTTAACGATGAAAATAGAATGAATAACGTATAATATGTGTTGAATAACTTATGTGTTCTCTGTGAGGATCTGGATATAAAAAAATGTCATCGTAATCTGACAAATTTGTTTTATTTAATTCAAGACAGTCACTCGAAACATCGCAACAAAATCTATTTGGAAGAATTCAAGAAGTTTTATTTGAGATAAGTGGATCATTTACTCATATTTCTAACAAAATTGTAGGTATCACATTAGGTAAATAATATACATTTAACACCTAATCGTTAGAAAAAATGTACTAGGGAATTTTGGATGCATTTAAATGTAATTCAAGATATTTAAACTTTTATTTGTGTATTTTTCAAATAATTTGCTAATTGTATAAAGGGGACATGTAAGTACATTTTAGGTATTATTTGACAGCTTTACTAAATGAAGAAGTCAATAATAAATATAAAATAAAAAAGCTGTGCTTTTGACAGAAATATTTCCAGTTGATATAGTAAGGATCACCAATAACTTGACTTAATTGGTTAAAGAATGTTGGTGTGAAATTTTCTGAGAAATCTACAATAAAAAAGTTACCCATCAGACTTTTTACGACACACTGTAAATGTATATTTTAATAACCGCCCCTGTACATTTGTTTTGAAGTACAGAGAGATATTCAATTTGTTTACAGAATTTTTTCTTTTAAACTGCAACATAATCTTGTATACAATTGAGACGGCAATTTTAGCTGTTAAAATTAACACATAATTTGACGATTTCAATTTTCAGGGCCTATTTGACCAGCAATTTTTAAACATTAGTTAAATATAAACAGGTTTTAGATAACTTTTGATCTGTAATGTGTGACCTTCTGCTTTTGAAACCACAATATATAATATCAAGAAAATTTACAACTGTACAACATTCAGAATAATAATTCTCTTATCTCCTATTATAGCGATCGTTAGACATAGTTATTTTAAGATGATTCCTCTGATCTATTCTAGAATTGTAGTTTCCGAAACCGGGTCTATGTATATGGCTGGTTTTTTCTTCAGATGACTCTGAAGATCCGCTTTCTGACCCCGTCTCTTCAGAACTGTCGCTAGAACTGCTGCTCTCTGATTCGTCTGATTTTGAACTGTCTTCTTCACTATCACTTGAGCTTTCTTCACTTTCATTTTCTTGTACTTTAGACCAAATCGTTGAGGCTACCACAGGCTTTTTTTGCTTCTTTATTACTACTGCTACTTTACTTCTAGGTTTAGCTCCTTTAAATAAGGTTTCTTCTTCTGAATGATCTGATTGACCTCTGTATTTAGAATAACGTCGATAGCGGACCGTTCTTTCTGGGGTACGACGTCTGCGTAATGGGGATCTTCTGCGCACTGGTGACAAGTATCTTCTTATAGGACTTCTGTCTCTATATCTGAAACAATAAATGTATACAATGTAAGAATTATAGTTTGTAAAGTGAAAACATCCTTAAGTGAATCTTTCTAGATGGTCTTCCTAAAAAGTTGGGCCAATGGGCTAAGTCCCACAGCAATTAGACCTTTATTAGGTTCATTGTCTACCTATTTAACGTAGTATGAGTGGAGTTTGCATGGATGACTGTAAACTGCAACCACCATTTGCATTTTCCAAAAGCTATACCAATTTTAAGAACAGATTATTTCTTATCTGTTGGACATTTTCCAATGCTAAACTATGTTTATTATATAGAACTCTGAGTTTAGGAAAAATACATAATTGAGTTCTGTCTTGTAGCAGTTTCAAATTATCTTCCAAAATTTTGAGAAAATATTATTACTTTATTTATAAATGATAGCACCTGGGTTGCTAGGGCATGCCCACAGGGAGGAGTATAGTCTATACTCGTGGGTCATGGATGTGCCTCTTAGGACATAAAACCCTGCGATATGCTGATTTTCAATGATCACAACAAATGTAAATACACCGCTTCAGATAGAGATTATGCAAAAATTTGTATACTATTGAAATTTTACAGAACATTTCTAGACACTTTAAAACACACTATACATAACAATTTTGGGTAGCGCACCCAAAATTGTGTCAGCGCGACACTACATTTTTTTTTACCTTAAAAGCCTTAAAATTTGTTGTCCAGTCTCCGCCATAAAAAAAAGTGAATTAAATCATTTTCACTGATTTCTTGTTGTACAAACGGCTAAATAGTAAATATAAATATTGGACGATTCATATACAGAATTTTTTGGTAAACGATTAAATTTTCTTATTTTTCATTTTTCAATTTGTTAGATAAAAAATATGAAGTAAATTATCTTGAAAACGTATACGACAGGAATTAGTTTGGTGAATGAAAGTTGGCAGCGTAGCCGAGAAATCAGCGAAAAAAGTTCACGGGTTACGAAGCAACCCGCAATGACTGCAGGTCGTATATGTCCAGGCCGTACAGCGTAGGCGAGAAATCAGAGCGAAGTCTGAGGCGGTTTGAAAAAAGTTCATGGATGCAGGCCGTACATGTCGAGGCTATTCAGCATAGCCGAAAAATCAGAGATTTGTAAAAGTTCACGGGTTGCGAAGAAATCCGCAATGGCTTCATGTCTTATGTAACCAGGCCATATAGCGTAGCCGAGAAATCAGAGTGAAGCCGGAGCATGTTTAAAAAAAGTTTAACCCGCCATCGCTGGGTAAAGTTATTTAATTTGGTCTTTTTACTTAATTTTTACTTGACTTGGCCTGGTACAACACAGGGCACAGGTATAAATTACCATTAGCATGTTACAATATTGATATGGCAACATTGTATTTTTTTTAGACATTCGACACACTTCCAATGTCAATTGTCATATTGTTTTCGAAAATAAAATAATTGTATTTTTGACGAACTTAAACCTGCTGGAATTAAACTAAGAAAATAAACAGTTTACGAAAAATTTGGGATGGTTTATTGCTTTATGGATGATCTAATATTATTTAGCAGTTTCTGTAACAAGAAATTAATCAAAATAATGTAGTTCACATTTTTAAGATCGAAATTGGAGAACACTTTTGGAAGTTCTAAAGTGAGTAAAAATATTTTGAAGCGTTTCCATGGCAAAAATAGTATTTTGACATGTGTTTCAGCCCTTTAGACCGATGGCGGATTTTTCCTAGTCATAATAATAAAATGGTATGAAAGGAAGGACTAAAAATTAGTGCCAATAAATCTACCATAATTGCATGGACACTTCTTTGTAAGCGAAACAAACAGGGAAATTGGAAATTGAAATGAAAAAAGTAGCCAAAGTTATAAGACCACTTCTGTATGTATCTATAGAGGAACACGTGATTATCGGGATGATTCCCTTTTGGTTTGCCGTTTGGAACTATTGTTTTATAGCAAAAAATTAAATTTTTATTTATAACAGAAATTCTAAATTACTCACTACAAAATTTAATGTAGTTAATATCGTCTCGGAAGCGCAGGTGTGTCGACGGCTGGTATTCAATTAGATGCCATTTAGTTGTTTCAAGACACTAAAGGATTTGATGGGTGCCATGTATTAGCAGTAATTTAATTTTTTAAATTGACATCCAGATCATAAATCACCGTGCATTACCGTTTCGATGATGGTGGGTGGGTTTTCCTCACCTGTTAGTCAAATGGCACCATCAATCATCTGTAAATCGCTCCGGAGCGCCACGGCAAATAATATCCATCCCTTCCCCAGTCAAGCATAGTCAGCTTTTGAGGTTAAAATTAACTCGTAAGGGGATAGATTATAGAGTATTATTATTAATTTCAGTTTTTATAGTACATTATTAAATGTTTTTTTTATTCTGTCCTTGTTTATTATCTACCCATTTCAAATATGTTATAAGTTAAATACTTTCAAATTGTGAATTTATTTGTCGTAATATGCAAATCGAAATCCTAAAAGTCAGAGAAATATTTGAAATAAGTGACTCAAAGGTTTGAAAATCCGGAAACAAATCTCAAAAAAAAAAACCCAAAAGACCATCCCCGAACCCCAAAAGTGAATACAAATACTTGAGATTTGAAAAAAAAAGAAGCCTGTATGCTAGACAAGTGCCCTTCCTTCTAGATCATCACGACATTGACTTTCGAGATCCTAAAACAGAAATGTAATGTGCTAATTCGGGCCAGACTGTGTTCAAGCACGTTCACAAATCTTCAAATACCTCTATACAGCATCGGTGTATATGAGAAATGAATTTATGCATACTAAGCCCATATCTTTTTCTGCGTGAGTTAAGTTTTCAATGTACGTTAAGAGAGTGTGAAAATTGTGAATGTATTTATTGTAAATTCGCAAATCCAAATCCGAAAAGTCAAAGAAATATCTGAAATAAGTGGCTGAATAATTTGAAAATTCGAAAACAAATCTCAAAAATCCCACTACGAATTACTGGGACCAACCCAGAACTCCAAAGATGAAAACAAATACGAGATTTGAAAAAAAGCCTGTCGCACCGGGAATCGAACCCGGACATCCTTGTATGCTATACAAGTGCCCTTCCAAGACAAGGATGTCCCGGACATTGAACAAAACTAACGCAGACGAAGATGTGGGCGTAGTATGCATAAATGCATTTCTCATATACACCGATGCTGTATAGAGGTATTTGAAGATTTGAGAATGATCTTGAACCCCGTCTGGACAGAATTAGACCATCAAATGTCTGTCCAGTAATCTCAACAGTCAATGTCCTGATGGTCTAGAACAGGGGTCTCCAAAATACGGCACGCGGGCCAAATCCGGCCCGCCAGTGTCATCAAACCGTCCGCGACAGCTAATAGCTTATTGTTGCTGTGATAAGTTGGATAAAAAAAACAGAATGCTAATAACTCTGATTTGTTTACTTGCTAGGTACCTATAGCTTAATACTATTGAGATTTATGTAATTGTAATTGTCCACTGACAATAGTTTGTAGTTGTGGGCCAAATTTATTTGTACCAATTATTAAGAGATTTAAATTTAAGATGCTCATCGATTAACTTAGATCTATCTATAAAAATTCTTTGTGTACTTCATTTTGGAGAATGTTTTTTGACACAAGTAAATAGTACCAAAAACAGAAAACAGCCCACGAGCAAATTTATGCAAATTATCAAATTGTACCAGTGGAATTCCAACAAAGATGAGTTATGATAATTTCCATTTGACGTTCTGAGGCTAGGGTTTCAATGTCAGTATTAAAACGAGTTTCAAAATCTATCTTCAAAGCACTAAAAGCTTCGATTGCAAAATCGACGGGAAACTCAGTCTCGGTAGTGTGGCTGAATATGTCACATGTTTTAAAATGTATGAAACATTTTTTACGTAACTGTGATTGAAACAGTATTATTTTCTGCCGGAACGATTTGATATTAGTATATAAATTAGGGAGAAGCTGGTTTTCTCCTTGCAATCTCAAATTCAGTTCGTTTATATGTTTTGTCAAATCAACATAGAATGCTAACTTCCACAGCCATTCGCTATTTTGTAATTCGGTAAGAGGGCGATGCTTTTCATTCAAAAAATTTTTCGATCACTGTTCGAAGTTGAAAAAATCAGAGATAGCCATAAATTCTACTAACCCCTATTTTCTAATCCATAAGGAGTTACCAAAACCGGTTCCCCACATATTTCTATTTAATGTTTCAAAAAAATACTCATCTATCATTACACGACTTAAGATCAACCATGGATGTTTCCCGGCCCATCTGCATAAGATAGGAATAATAGAGTCGCCTATTTGTCAACATGATAATGAAATTGCTGATTTGAATCACCTGTTTTTTAATTGTAAAATAAATCCAGGAAGTACTAACTTCATGGACAAACTAAATAAGTTAAATTTACAATTTCCCACCAACATTCAAGTTTTACTGGCAACGGAGAATAAACAAATTTACAACTTAATAGTAGAATTTATCTCAATAAATAAAATTTCCATTTAATTAGGTTAATTATTATTTAATTAAACATTAAAATGTTGTGTGTGGCTAAAGGATCAATATCCAAAGCCAAAAAAAAAAAAAAAAAAAAAAGTTGAAAAAAGCGAAACTAAGCTCGCAGTGTGATATGGTCATTTTCTCCCATCTCTTCAATAAACACGCGGAATGGTCGCTGATTCAGCCCAGTGGATCTGATGAAATTAACAACTGATATAACTGGTTTTAGAACTTCAGACATATCCAAACATTTTCCGTACAAGGATTGTTGATGAATGATACAATGTAAAACTAATGGTTTTGAACCGCCATCATTTTCTACAGCCTTTGACACAAGTGCAACCACTCCTTTATTTTTACCACACATGTTTTTGCATGTTGCAGCCTCTTGTTCAATATTGACTTTCGTAAACAAAGATTGCTGCAATTTCAATCCGCGCTTCAAAGCTTCAAATTTTTCTGTCTGCATACTTCCTGTAAATTTTGAGTAATTTTGAAAATGTTTTGTTTCAAAATGACGTTTAATGTTATATTCTTTGAGAACAGCTATGGTTTCATTGCAAATCAAACATAGCCCCATATTACTGGACTCAATCACAAAATATTGAAAGTTCCATTGATCTTTGAATGTTCTGCATTCGCTGTCTATTTTTCACTTCTTTTCCATACTTGTAAATCACACACAAAAACAACAAGTCAAATCAAAATACTGTTACGTAAGGGCGTTGGTCGGTTCGAAGATGTAATTTAAACGCGGTTGTTATGTTATTTCACAACAGACAGTTTCGCTTCCTTCACCTTCCCTAGACAGACTGACTGGCGGTGGCACCTCTAGCCTTTTTATACTCCAATTACTAACAACTCGAAGTGAGTGGAATACACCAGAACTTTCTCGAACCACTGAGGTTATTCACGAATGTTTAATGGTATGTTTTGGAGATTAGATGATTTATGCATGTCATATTTAAAAGCTCACATCATTAAGTTTAGCCCCTAAATGTAATAGATAATATAAAAAATCAAGCTGGTGAAAAATTCAAATATAATTAATTTTTACCTGTGTGGCCTTTCCTCAATATGTCTAGCTCCATGAGGTGATCTTGCTCCTCTTCTCCTATTCAACATAACTCTAATGTCAGATTTTATATTTTCCTTCCTCTCTCTCTGTTGATTAATATCGCTTATATCTCTCTCCAATGAAAACACCATTTGTCTAGACCTATTTTTAAGTTTGCTTCCCAGATCTTCTAAATCATTAATTTCAATAGGTGGTTCTGGGACATTATTATTTAAACTTAAAATCGTTCTTAGATCTTTAGGTTCCTTTATTAATTTTTCTGCTGATGTTTTTAATTTTTGAATTGCTTTTTTCATCTTTAACCGCTCCTCCTCTTCATCTGCATACATCCTCATTCTCATTGTCCTTCCTACAATTAAAATATTTTTTAGGAAAATTATATTTACACAATATGACATATAATGAATTGAATTTTAGGATAGGAATTTAGTTGCTGATTTCTATTAAAGCTCTATACCTCCTTTCAATCAAGAATTTCACCGAAAATGTCTTTTTCCCAAAGGATTTCATTAAAAACAAGATTATACTTTAAATAAAATATGATGATAGGTCTGTCGATTGCACCGCTTGGAAGACAAATCTACAGGAGACATTAATGTATCTGCTTCGCCTTGAAAAGAACTAGGTTCCAGATCTATAGATTTACCTCACTAGAGCCTACCGACTTTAAAAAAAGTCTCATCTAACTCAACCATGACCTTCATTGAAGGCTTTGTTTTGTAGGGCTAATTAAAATTTAGGCATGAGCCACAATAGATCCATCTTGGTGACAGTGGAAGATGATATGATCATCCCTTAGACTAGGTAATAAAGAGAGGACTCATAACGCCGCTGAAAATCTTGTTACTTTCTGACACCAAGGATATTCTACCAAAAGCGTAACATGTTGGAAATAAAAAAACGAACTTGTATTTATGTTATTAGTAATTTATTCATCTTTTTAGGTATAAAGCAAGTTAAAAGCGTAAAATTTAAAATAAATAAGTAACAATAATTAAGACACAAGAAAAAAAATATTGAAATAAACTGAATAAAATGAGTGTTTCTTTTAATTCCGCAAAATAAAACATAATGATTCTACATGTATTACAAAAATATTTATTTTTAGTTAATAAAGAATGACACTATCCAGATAGCACAGACACGTTTTAAAGACACACATCTTTGAAGATGTAACACTAATATTCAAAAGATGTTTTAAAGGCGTCTATAGGACGTACATTGTTACAAAACAAGGCGTCTTTAGGACATCCAATTTTGTACATCTTTAAGACATCCAGTTTTGTACGTCTTTAAGACAAACCGTATTGGACGTGTTTAAGCCGTCTATTTACTTGATGGAAATTCATTTAAAAAAATAAATGACTGCTTGTCTATTATATTTAATGTTTATTATACATTATTAAACTATTAAAACTGACACATAAATATTATTTTACAGTGTTGGATAATATAATTAGAAAATAACTTCAAGTACTTGTTGCTATGAGAAACTATTCCCGGAAATCCTACTTTTTTCCAGTTTGGTGGATTTAAACACTTCTTTTATGGTTTTAATTTTAGCCAAAGCGTCTGTAACTAATGTCCTCGTAGTATATAATTTTGTTGAATTATTGTAAAGTGTTTTTCTAAAAAAATAAGACATTGTTAAAGTGAGGTTATGAAATTAAAAAGCGAATAAATTAAAACTTACCGTTTTTAATGATAAAGTTTACTAGTTTCGTTTCCAATAATGGCAAATAAATAATATAAAAAGACAATATATAAAAACACACAAAGACGAAAAAGTAATGACAATGTCGACAGACTGACGCTAAAAATATTATACAATGGCTGTCCCGAGAAGAAAGCAGCCAAAGGAAGAATACGAGTCGATACGCGCGCGTGAGACTATGCAATCAGCCAATGACGATCATACATGCGTTGCAGGCAGCGCCAAGAACGGTGTCGTGGCGCCATATTCAAATATAGCGAAAAGAGTTGAACGTCCACAATACCGACATTTAAAACGTCCACATTACCGACATTTAAAACGCCCTAGAAACATCCCAACAAAGACGTTTTAAACATGTTTTAAAACCGTCCGTTTTACGTACCAGGACGTTTGGACGAAAGTAAGACATGAACTGTTGTAAAAGTTGCCTTCTAAGCCGTTTTATCCTAGGGCTTTCTGGGATAGATTCCTTATTTACAGTTCTATTTGAACGGCCTGGCTCAGCTTCCACATACAATGCTCTTCTTTTTAAGTCCTACAACAATCAATTATTACGGTAATGTTTTGAATTATACACAAAAGGGTGTCTAAATTTTTAAAAGTGCATAACATAATAATGAAAAGTTATTAAAAAATATATATGTTTAATTATGTTTATGGTGGTGGGTGAGGTTTTCCGGGTTTTCCTCACCTGTAAGTAAAATGGCACCATCAATCATCTTTAAGTCGCCCCGGAGCGCCACGGCAAATAATAATAATAGCCGTCCCTTCCCCTACACAAGTCGTTCAGTCGACTTCAGGGGTTGAAATTCACTCGTAAGGGGGTGAATTAGGGAGAGTATTATTAGTATTATTATTATTATTATTATTATTATAGTATACACACCTAATTTGGCTTCATGTATTTAGGGAATTCAGGAAATATAGTGGGAACTGCTCCATTTAGTAAACGTCTTTTACAGTCCGTCCCATAAAAAAAATGTCTTTCAAAATGTTTTGAACACAATCTATCATTTGGCGTAAGCTCCAATTTGCAATTTTCGTTGCCTGAATCCAAAGATTTTTTTTAGCTGGATCCCCAGGAAATCTAAAATAAAACAACAAATAAACATTGCTACAATTAAATAAAAAGCAAAAGTAAATTTGAAATTATTAAAAGTTAATATTTAGAATTGTACAACACGCCACTGGAAAAAATTACTTGTTTGGCCATTTTAATATTATTAATTGCTTAAATATCAATGAAAAGCATAAAATAAACAAACTTGGTGGGTAAAATACTCGTATATTACTCTGGAGTGAGACATGTACAATATGTGAATACCAAGTTGTATAACACCAAATAAAATGAAAAATATAAGAAAATATATAGAGTAAAAACGATTGATGTTTATCATTTACCTGTGAAACGTAATATCTGCTTCTTTCTTGTTGCCATAACTTTTACACTGATACGCCACACAATAAACCATTGTAATAAACCAATTATTAAATGTCGTTTAATTCAAAAATCATAAATAAACACGAACAAAAACTTTGGTGTCACCGAAATGCTTAGCACCAAAATAATGGCGGCCAATAGATAATCGGCACGGAATACTACGTGTGCTCGATATACTTGTTACGCGTCCTCTCTTTATTACCTAGTCTAAGAAGCATCCCACTCATCTTCAACATAACCTAAACAAAATTATGACTGATAAATAAAAAAAGTTGAATTACCATTCTGTGTTAATTTATTAAATTTGGTCAAAAATGGTAGTCACTTGAAGAGTCCAAAGCAAAAACCATGAAGGTCATTAGAAGCTAATTCTCTGTAAATTGAATTTTAAGTTACAAAATCAAAATACACAACTGACTTTCATCCTTTTGCTGCGTACAAGTAATTAAAAAAGGTACACACCTTTAGGTTTTTTAACTGTTGTTTTTTCTTCGACAATTTCCACCTCATTTTCAGACTCTGATGGGGCTTTAACGCCTAAACGAGTTGCCAAGTTTGGATTTTTAATTTCGACAGTTTCACCTGAAGTAGGAGCAGCTTCCCTAAATTTAACATCTTGATCCCAATTTTTAGCTAGGTTACCCCAAGGATTTTTGCCTAAAATAAAAAGCATTAATATTACTAATTTCTTTAGGGCCAGTCTTTTCACCTCTGAGTAAAGTTGAAAGTAACTACTTGCTAATTAAACTATAGGGCTATTGTTTGTTAATCTATCAAATAAACCTATATGCAAATTTACTTAGAGGTAAAAAGATCAACCCTTAGAATTTTATTTTGCTAACCTCTGGGTAAATCTTTGTTTCTTTCAAATATTCCATATTCTTTTTGTTTCTCATTTTGTACTTTAATATTACCAAGTTTTTTATAATATTTTGACAAACTTTCAACCTGAAAGGGCTTTTTGTCAGTCTTAAAAGCAAATCTGAGTAGCAGACACTTGGCTTTTGGATGTTTATCCCCTAATCTCCAGTAACCTGGAGGTATAGGTATTGTTATCTGATCAATATCTACAGCATTTTTCAACATCTTCTTCGACTGTTTTATAACATCCTCTACCTAAAATAATTTGTATATTAATTTCTTTTTCGCTAAACGTTATAAATTGTTTTATTTATTGAAATTTTGCAGAAATAGTAAATCAACCAAATGTAGTGAATAAGATTAATGGGTAGACGCACAACAATATAAAAAGTGGCAACTTTTATTTTTTTATTTTATTTTATTTATTTACGGAAAATCTCCTTTTACAAAATAATTATTATTAATAGATATTTTAAACCTAACCTAACAAAAAAGAAAATAACTTAAATATGTTAAATATCACAAAAACTTAGAAAAAAACTTAGAGCTAAAGCTAACTCGATAAGCACTCCCTCAGCTGATTTTTAAACCTAAACCGATTAACTCTCAAAAAATCAGTGTGTCTGTTAATTTAATTTCCTTGCCTTTGAAATCTGGTTAAAGGACTGTTGAGTCCGTAGTTCGTATGATGGAAGCTAATTAAAAATAATGGTTTCTCTCTAATATTTATATTGTTTAATTTAAAGTTTATTAGCTCCAATATATCCGGACAAGCTATATTCCCTTCCAGGGGGTCGATTATCGACTTGTAGGAACCTTTTCCTATAGGAATTTGTGACACTTTCCTATATGTAGGAAAATGTCATAAATTTTCGATGTATATAAAAATGTCAAAAATTCCTATAGGAAAAAATTCCTATGAGTCGAGAATCGACCCCCAAGAGGTTATAAAGAAATAAAAGATCATTACTAATTAACATTTTCTCAACTGACAATAAGTTTAAATGGTTATTAAGCTCTAAAAAGCATTAAAACCTAGTTAATTGCCTTAGTGTAGTTTGCATATTATTGGCATTACATAATTCACGTAGTGATTGGTTACTCAAAATGTTAATTTTGTAGATATAAAGCCAGTTGCAACAACGTTCATTAAAATTTATGGGACCGATAGATAGAATATGGCCGACTGCGCATGTGTCGGCATACTTGAATTATTAACTTTATTTTGGAATTTAAAGGCAAGGAAAATCATTTTCACGAAAAAAAAAAATACGTCAAAATATTCCAAAATTATTGAATATATTTGTTTATTTCCAAATACTTTCCTTGCCCTCGAAATTATACTTCATTATTCCAGTGAACACAAGGCAGGCGCATACGCAATCCGCGGCGACGTAAACTGCAGGTTTACGGACGCATATTCTAGATGTTCATAGATGGTGTCAGTACTTACCTAGATTTAATCATCCGGATAGTAAAAGGAAATGGAAAAAAGTTTAAAAGAAAAGAGTCCTCTGATGTACTAATCAATATCCTAGGAGCAAGTTTTTATTATGTCTTGAATATTTATTTAGGTGAATAGCTGTCCTCTGAATGGTAACAATATTCATGCAGTGCCTTCTCAATTATGTAAATAGTGTTAAAAGAATGTCTAATTTTAATATTTTCTAGTATCGGAAGATTACATGAGGAGAAATATATTAGTTTAAAGGTTTGGAGTTTTTAGGCATTGATCATGTATTATGATAGAACTTTATTTAATTTAGGAAACCCTAATATACATAAAATAGAATAAGTACACACAAAATAAAAAATTAATTATATGGATACGAAACTAAAATTATTAAAATAGGAGTAAAAATGATTAAAATTAGATAATATATAAAAGCTTGTAGTCATTAAAAACAATTTTAAAAATTTGAACAAAAATATACTAAAATTGAAATAATATAAACTACAAGTTTTTGATATGTTCTTTAATTAATATTTTAAAATTAGAAAGAGTGGTACATTTTTTTATAAATGCAGGAAATTGATTAAACTTATGGAAACCTTTTACCAACAGTGAATTCATTGTGCTTCGATAAACCGTTCTACTTATATGTATGTCATTTAATAAACATCTGGTATTATATAAATGAATATTTTTATTAAAAAAAAAAGGAAATATTCAGAGGAGCACAATCATTTACTATTTTGAAAACCAAAATCATGGTGAAATAGTACAGTCTGTCTTCAACAGATAACAATTAAGGTAATTTAACATAATTCTAACTGGAGTACAACGATTTTTTTAAGAATTATTCTCATCCCACGATTTTGCAACATGTTGAGTTTGGTGAGATTGATTAAGAATATAATTGATGCACAATAGTCAAAATGAGGTTTCCATTGACAAGTTTTGAGATATTCGGCTAAAAAAAATACAGCTTTTTTGATATTTTTTTTGTAGAAAAGTGGGTATCAAAACTTAAAATATTGTCAAGCTGAAACACTAAATATTTAAGTGATGTGACAATATGAATTTTTTCTTGTTAATATTTAAATGTATGCTGTTAGTACCAAGTAAGTTATATTTATATTTTGTGGTGAAGATCATTGCAGTTGTTTTTAACATTTAACTTCAATTTATTTTCAAATATTTATTAACCATGTCTAGAATACTGTTCATTTTCTGAATGGCTACATCCAAATGTTCATCACTACAACAAATTAAGGTATCATCGACAAAAAGGTTAATGAATTCACAAATTACGAAAAGGCAATATCGTTAATATACAGAATAAACAGAAGTGGGCCTAAAACACTACCTTGTGGATTTCCTGTTTTATTATCCATTTCAGATGATACCTGATCATTAAAACGTACTCTCTGTTTGCGGTATTTTAAACAATTTCTAAGCCACTCAATCACTGTACCCCCTATATCTTCCTTTTTAAATTTAGATATCAGTATTTCCCTGTCGATTTTCTCAAAGGCCCTTTTTTAATCCAGAAATATAGCGACAACATATTTATTATCAAAATTATTTTTATATGGCAAAGTGTAATTTGTAATGCTAATTCACAAGAGAATTTTTTTCAAAAACCTGATTGGTTGTTAATTAAAATTTTATTTTTCGTAATATGGTCCAATATATTGTTCATAAACAGTAATTTCTAATAATTTTTCTATAGGAGGTCAAGTATTGATTGGTCGAAATTCTTCAGCTTTATTATAGCTACCTTTTGTAAAGGAGTGCTAGTACTTATTTTTAATACATTAGGAATCCTACCTGTAGTGAGAGATGTATTAATTAAATTTAAGAAAACATATCCAATGGTTTCAAAAACTTCTTTCATCATTCTGCAATTTAATGTTTCATGTAGTGAGAATTTATTATCTAAACTGTCCACCATTTTTCGCAAAAACTGCATGGAAAGTATTTAAAATTTTAAATATAAGTTATTTACATTAGACCACATTACAATATTCTCAATACTTTCTACAAAATATTCATTAAAACTGATTGCTATTTCTAGGCGGTTCGTTAACAATTTTAGCCCTGCTGCAGATTCAAAGATTACAGAGTTTGCTTTATCTCGGCTATTATCATTAACAATTTTTTTTTTAAGTTTTCCTCATTTGTTTCGGATTATTTCTATATTTATCTATTTTATTAGAGTAATACTGCTCTTTTTTTAGATTCAACATATTCACTACCACATTTCTATGTTGCTTATAAACTTGCCATTTATGTTGTTTTTCATTACCATCAATACATATTTTAAAATCTTTATAATTCCTATCACGTTGTCTAATTTTATTATATACCTCATAATCAAACCAAGGTAATTTTGATTTATAATGGCATATTTCTATTGGTGATATATTATTGATTACATTTTCGAAATTGGCAAAAATTTCCTGATAAATAGATCAACGTCAATATAATCTAAATTAAAATGACACGATATAAAATTAGTTCTGATTTCATCTAGGTTTTCACTACTTAAATTTCTAAATTTGACTATATTATCATCAGAATGATTATTATTGTTATTATTAGACATAGTTACTGAAATAACAAATGTTATTTTTGGACAATAGTGCACACTAGCCATTATATTGTTTTGATATACATAATCCACCAAAGTTTTGCTAGTGTTAGTATTACAGGTTGGACATGTTATATATTGCGTTACCCCATAAGATGAAAACAAATTTTTTTATTTTTTGTCAATAGAAATTACTAGCTAACAAAAATCATAATTTTTGTTTATATATAGCATAACACCTCCCGTGTGACTACTCTTTGAATCACAGCGAACATGCCAATAATTTTCAAGTCTTACTTCAACATCTACTTACTGTTGTTCTAGTTTCACTCAGTAAAATTAGTTATTGATTCTTGGATTTGATCTCTATTTTTATGATGCTTTAGGCGTTGAGATAAATTATATCGGTGTTTAAAAGTGTATTATGGTTTACAAAGTGTTTTCTTGGTTTTGTTTTAAAACGATAGTTGGTTTATTATTTATGTATTTAATTGTTTTGGTAGTATCTCCGTTATCAATTAGAATCTGCAGCTTTAATCGCTTTAAAATATTCCTGCTGTGCCTTAGTTTGATCACAAAATATTCTCATGCTCAGAATGGGAATCAGTTGTTTATTTTTAAGCACAAATGTAGCATCATTTTGTGTGTTAAGAATAACTTTGATTGGCCTGGTCTTGTTTATCATATATCCCAAAAGAAACATTTTTAAATTAGTTTTCACTATATTAAAATTATTTAGTATTTTTCCAATAGCCGTTGAATCTTCACAATCACACTCTGCTTGAGTTTTCATTTTTGACTCATTCGCGTTACAAACAATTATGTTAGAAGCGCGACTCTGCCTCTCAATCAGCTCACATATTATTTCCTCTTTATCTCCTCCAGGGGTAGAGTCATTTCTGCTAACAGACATTTTTTAAACGGATGATTTCTAGCTCAAAATTATCGATTTTCACAAGAAGTTTAGGTATAAGCTTTACTCCAATGTGGCAATCCTCACAGTAAAACTTGAGCAATCTCTTACCTTTGAGGTCCATAACCTTTAGTTCGCTGACATTCAGTTCTGAGCACTCCCTATGAGTCGACCTTTGATAGCTTTAACAATTTATAGTAGTCTCACCAGTTACATGTTTAAAAGAAACACATTCCATTATAGAAATTTTGCACTAACCACTCATACTATCAATATTTTGGTTGACCAGCTTTTTATAGTCAACT